AGAGGTGAGTAATCTCAGCATAGATGTGTGGCTTGCACAACCCAAAATATTTACTATTTGGCTGTTTACATTGAAGATTTGCTGACCCCTGTGCTAGAATATAATGCAGGATTTTTTTTTTAAATGCTAAAAGAAACGCAGTCTGGTTTGCCAACTGTCAATTATTACTGACAAAATTATGTTTTTAGTTTGACATTTAAAACATTTAACATTTCCAACAGGGAGATAAAACTGGATCCAGTGAGGAAAGGAGGAAGACATAGAGCAGTTTAAAATATCCATACTTTCTTAAACCTTCATTTACAGATGAAATAGACATTTAAACATATATAGGCACTTACCTTTGTATTTCAAAAAACTGCTGGAAATTTAAATATGATGGTTGCCAACTCTTCTAAATTTTTTTTTAAAGGAAAGAATTGGATGTGTTGTTGCTAATGACACTGTGTTGGATCTTTTAACAACACATTTTTCCTGACCCTTAAAAGTCTTTAAAAACATGTGCCAAGAATTCGTCATAGCAGCAGACAACACACCCAAATATTTAGTAGGGTTTATGTAGCCACCTCCTTCCCCATGAGTTTTTCCCAGAAAGCTCAGCTAATTTCCTTTTAATTGCCAGTTCACATTTCTCTGGTTTCTCATCTTGGAATAAATGACATTCTCTATCCCTTGGATTGCTTCACCCAGACTCCAGCCCTGAGAAGCCAGTGAGAAGTGGGAACAGTTTTCCTTTCACATTCCCTCGCTCAACAACTTCATTCTTTTGCCTAAAGAACTATTTTGCAAAGCTTCTGGTCTTGTCATACAAGAAAGTTCCTTCCACTCGGCTTTAATAACACAGCATAAACAGCTCCCGCCGTAGTTGCTAATAGTTCCAAAGGCAGCATTTTCATAAGTCATGCAAACTGCAAATAGCAGTGTGGGGAGGGAGGAGTTTTTAAGTACAAGTCTTCCTGAGTTGAGACTTGCCCACTGCCTGCCTCAAGTATACTTACTTGCCTTGAATAATTGGAGTCACAGAGAGAACTTAGAGCATATGACACTCTAAGGAAAAAACCGAACAGAAAAACAGCATTAACAAGTGCCTATTTTTGTTATTGCCATTTCTTAAATGTATTAGTAGATGTACAATTTCATTGGATATTCCTTTTTTTTTTCAATTGTCTTTGTACCTATGGTTGAAAACGGTAGTTGGTCTATGACTTTTGAAGAGGTAAGTTTTTAATCTATGTATGTCTGTATCAGCGTCTGTCTCTTTGAAAAATGCAGTATCCTCCTCCCAAAAGTTACTAACCAAACTTTCCCAGCAGTCCATCTTCTATGGAAGAGGGGAAGGAAGTAATGAGGAAAGTTGTTGTCTGCTTTTTGTTCAAATGGTGCCAACTGTGTGAGATGGAGTGTGTTTCAGTCTGTACAGTGTGAGGTATAAGGGTTATGTAACCAATGTGTTCTATAATGTTTTCTGAAAGGCATAGGAAGCAATCTGCCAGTTTTGTTTACAGGCTCTGAGCATTCAGCACATCTGCTTTTGCAAATTTACAGCATGTGGCTATCTCTGGGCAGACTGAGGTTATCGGGCCGACTTAAAGTCTGTCCCGTGGGCAGACCTTGCCAGCATTTCAAACCAAACCAAACAAGGCTACTACCTTTTCCAGGCCATCAAATCCAACCTCCTTCTCCATTCCAATGCAAAGGCAAACTTTTCTTAAATCAGTCAGTTCTGAAAAGAGTTCCAGCTCCTGGGGAAGGGCTGGGAAGAACAGCTAAGTAATGTGTGCTCTGTTAACTCTTGGTCTTTACGGGGCAAGTCTTCATAGGAAGTCTCCATCTCAGTATCAGCGTCTCACTGTGACACTCAGTGTTACCCAGTGGCACTGGAAGACTTGCGAGTACACATTGACACCCTCAGGCGTATACTTTGGAGGACGATACTGCATTTTTGGCCCTGAAGCTTGCTTTCCCACTTGTCTGTGAGTGCAGAGCAGGAGTCTGACACTTCCCACTGTGCGGCTTGCTTTGCAGACACCAAACTGAAGCTTCTTGCTAAAGCAAAAGCCAGTAGTTGCACCCCCTAGGCTTTCTGCTTTTGAGGCCTCCTCAGACACTCGGTTTCTCCCCAGTTTCTCCCCAGCTACAGCCCTACCCCTTTATATGTGTGTCTCTGTAGGGTCTCTGTAGGGTTTAGGCTGTAGCAATCACTGCAATGAGAAGTTAGTCGGAATTTCAGCTGAGTTCACTCATGTCTTTAGCATATCATCCATCAGACATTTGTCTTTAGTCAGTAGTGGAGTAGCTGCCTAGTAAGGTTTTTAAGTACTTTAATAAAATACTTTAATAAAATACTTTTCCACCAACATCATATGCCTTTACCTGGCGGTTATTGTGATGCAATTCTAAACAGGTAACTGTAACCTGAAAAACTGGTAGCTATGACATTTTTACTTCTGCCAAATTAATGTAATGTAAATAATAGCTACAGAAGCAATTTGTACCATGTAGTTCTTTGAGTGATTTCAGTAGAAATTGGACCCTTCACTCAGGATAAGGTATTGAAGTAGGCTTATCTTGGTGTCTTGAAAGGATTTATCAAGAAATGGGAAAGATCTCTTCCCCACCTAAGCATGTGCATTGTGAAGTAGGTTGTGTTGAAATTGTGTGAGGTGTTGCTGTTCTTTCCTGGCAAGGAGAAAATTTATTGAAAAAATTTCTGAAACCTTTTATTTGTTTTTTTTTTTCCGGTACCAGGAATCGAACTCACAACCTTGGGCTTGCCAGGCAGGCACTGTGCCGCTGAGCTAAATCCCCAGCCCCTCCTTTTTCTTTTTTAAATCTAAATTTTCTATAAGTATATAAGTTCTTTCCATGAAAAGAAGTAATAGTTGTATCAGAAATAAAAACTGATAGTTGTATCAGAAATAAAAACTCCAGCCCTTGCCAGAAAGTGGGCTCCTTTTGCAAAGATCCTAAGGTTAACTGTAGAAGCTCTGGCCTAGTTCGCACATGTATTATGCTTCTGTGGGAGGGCAGAACTTGTGTAAATTGAGGGAACAGACAGAATCGGATGAGTACAGGTTGACTGCAGAGATGTGTGTGGCATCTCCTCAGAGAATCTAAGGAGAGAGTCCTTGCAAGGCAGCGCTTTCCAGAGGTCACATTGAGCCTGTCACAAAGAGTGATCCACAGTGGTTTTGTGTAGAATGTGGACTATCCGGAGTGGACTTAATTTTTTTTTTTTCTCATTTCAGTACCTTATTCCTCTCAGTGAATAGAAATTCTAAGCTGCCTGTTTTTAAGCAAAACTTTCAAAAAATCCTGTTACAAATGTATATTCAGTGGAAATAACTTAGAAACACTTTGAAAGGATGTGGACAATATCAAAAATGATCCACTGCCCATCCTGTTTGTATATAGTGTTATAAAAATGGGATTTTGCAGTTATATCATTTTTGCCTACAAGATAGTGTATTTCCTGTTATTATTTTTTCTAATATTTTATTATTATGCAGAATTCTGCCATGAATTTATCTGAATATATTTAAGTGATAGGTTATTTTTTTAGTAGATATCTTTCTAAAGAATTTTTGAGATCCTCCAACTATGCCAGGTTACACACACACACAGAAGATAGTCAAGGTAGAGGTTTATCCTTTAACTTCTCCGCAGCCATCCCTGTTTCTGAGTCCTCTGCCCCAGGAGAACCTCAGCCTTTCCCCTTACTGTCTGTTTTTAGTCTTCCTTTAAAAACGAAAACAGCAAAAAGGACAAGACGAATTAGGTTCAGAAACACAGATAAAATTAACTTCGCACCACCCCCACCAGTATGCTGTGATACACTATCTTCCAGAACATGATTTGTCTTCTGTCTTCTTTTCTATCTGTCCTTTGGTTTTGCCAGCCTTACAGAAAAACAAGAGCTTACGCCTAAAACCAGCAGGGCATCATCACGTGAAGTCTTTCCTGTCAGTTCTCTGGAATCTCTTATCACTGTCAACAGTAGGAAAGACAGCGGTTTCGATACTTTGGACTGGAAGACACCAAATTGCTATTCGGAAAATAAATGTAAACATACCAAGTTCATAATGGCTACTTAAGGGGAGACTTTGCTTAGTAAGATAAGAGTTAGTCACTTGATACTTTCGTTTGTGTTTTTTTGGTTTTTCTCCGGTACCGGGAACCGAACTCACGACCTTGCGCTTGCCAGGCAGGCGCTTTTGTCGCTGAGCTAAATCCCCAGCCCCAGTCACTTGATACTTTCATCACGTGATTTTGTTGCAGATTTTCTTTTCTGGGAGTTCAAGGGTATGGAAAAAAAGACACCTCAGTAATTTTTATTACCCAGAATCTTTTTATCCAAAGTTTAAAGAAAATAAAGCAAACATGTAGAAATTTATTATAGGTACTACGGCTCTTACACAAAAATGTTTTCAGAAAAGTAAATATTCGTACTCAAAGAATTTTTGAAAATTAGCTGATAGCAAGATCATGAACCCACATATCTTGACCCAATTTAGAGTGTTCTTAAATAGTCTTCGTCAATGCAAACCCTGGTCCTGGAAAAACAGTTTGATGAAATGTCCAGTTCATCCCTACTGTGTCTTACAATTTCTCTTGCAGTCAGGGGTGGAGCTCCCGTGCATGTTTCAAACAAAGAATTGCTTGTGTCTGTGTTCTAGGTCTCTATGAAAACCTCATGGGATTGGGAGTCTGGCTGCAAACTGTGCTCTCGTGGTTCACTTTTTATAATTAAGTTCTATCTGGAGAGTTTGAGGGACCATTGTTTAGTCTTCTGGGTAAAGTGCCGCATCCGCACTGCTGGCTAAACTCACTGTTGTTTCCCAGACAGCAATCCTGCCTTCCTGTGCCACTTGCGCCTTCTCCTTTTTACACCTACGAAAGTTCACTTTGTTGCTGTTGCTTGTTTTTCCCATTAGTTCCTTTGTTTGCACTGTATGTGCGGATACTAACAGCCACCACTGGCCCTTGCTCTTTTTCTACAGAGGGAGAACAGGAGATTGCAGGAGGCCAGCATGAGACTGGAGCAAGAGAACGACGACCTTGCCCATGAGCTTGTAACCAGCAAGATTGCTCTGCGGAATGACTTGGATCAGGTAAAATTGTACTTCGCTAGGTAGAGTGATGACTTCTGGAGGGCAGGGACCAAGTTGCTCTCTCTCACAACCCCCTGGCTCCTGCTTGATTGCTGAGTGAGTGGGTGGCAGATGGGAGGAGCTCCACCCCGATCTCATGCAAATTGGAAAGACTGGAAAGTGAAGCCTTTGAGAACAGTTTGGGTCATTTCCAAATAGCACGCATGACATATTGTCTTGTGCCTCTAATTTTCACTGATGTTTCTTCTATCAGTACTTTTCTTAAACCAAGGACTGCCAGCATGATCACCTAAGAATGTTAGTCACCCAGGAGTTACTAATGCTACTCGGACATTTGGAGGCACCTTACTTTTTCTTCCAGTAGAAATTCTCATCTATAATGAATGTGAAGTTTTTTGTGAAGTACGTATGTTAAGAGCTGGATTGTTGGGTTGACAGGCATTTTAGTGGCTAAGAACCAGACTGCCTGAATGTGAATCTTGGCACCAAGCACTTACTAACTGAATGACCCCAGGCAGTTCTTTACCTTCGTAGATAAAGTATCTCTCTTATAGGGAGAGGTAAGAATTAAAGCCCTTCAATAGTATGTGTTCAGGGGCTGGGGATTTAGCTCAGTGGCAAAGCGCCTGCCTGGCAAGCGCAAGGTCGTGAGTTTGGTTCCCGGTACCGGAGAAAAACCAAAAAAAAGTACTTTTAAATAGTATGTGTTCAATAAATGTTGGTTACTGCTAGGAAGACCTTAAATTGTTTAGCTTCCTTACTCTTCTGAAAGTGCTGACAGTCCCAGGACTTCCTGTTTTCTACTGCTGTTATTTTCAGAGATGACGCAAGGTGGAAGCCGTTTTGTGTAGATATGAAATTATTACCCTATTTTCTGACTTCTGAACAGTAAATATTCCTAACAGATGGTGCAGGGTTAGAAAAACTGAAACCCACACTGTTGAGTCTGAAAGAAAGAATCATTACCTATCCTGTAATTGTGCACTGACAGTATTTAAAATACAAACCCACTAGTATCATAGATCTGCATATGTGTTTGAAATGGAAGGATAGCTAAAAATCGCCTGGGCCACAACTTCTTTTCCTCTTACATAAGTAGCTCAAGAGTTTTAACCACAGTGTTGTGAGAGATAAGACCCAAGTGTTAAGGAAAGTAAGGCTAAGAGGGAGAGGAGGAAGCTGAGGGAATGAGCTCAAAATGGAATTTAACCACTTCCACCCCCCACCCCCCCACTTGCTGTGCTAGAGATTGAACCCAGGGCCTCATGCATGCTAGGCAGGTGCTCTGCTGCTGAGCTGTCCCTCCAGCCCCTAAGTGGACTTTGAGGTGATTAAAAAAAAAAAAAAAAAAAACTGTGGTGTTTGGGACACAGGATGCGGGAGGCAGGAAAAACAGCCCATTAAAAAAAAAATTGGTCCTTTAAACCACAAACCCCATCCAACCAGCCCATTTGGAAGTTGAGAGAAGTAGTGTGAGAAAGTGTGGCTTTGAGTGCCAGAACCAAAAAAGGTAGAATGATCTCCATTCAGACAGGGCCAAACTCAACGAGATCAGACAGTCAGTGCTATTGAAAGTACAGCTCTTTGTTACATATGAGCTTTCAAAACTGTTTGACCCATAACTGATTCTGACATTTTGAATCTTTTGTCTACTAATAATTTCCATCAGGTCACTGACTAAATGAAAAAGTGTAGACAGTGGGACTCGGGGTGCAGTGAAGAAAGGGTGCAACTTCTCTGGGAAGGTGAGCCTGGTGGTGCATGTAATTCCAGCACTTGAGAGGCTGAGGCAGTGGGATTTTATGAGTTCAAGGCAGCCTGGATGACGTAGGAAGACCCTGTCTCCAAAAACCAGAGGGTGGGGGAGACATACTGTATGTATTAAGCCTGCATAAGGTTTCAGCATATAAATATATTAAATTTTTGCCATGTGATTACTATGGGATAGTCACCAAACATAGTAACTTATAAGCATTTTCTTATTGTCTCTTCCTAATTCCATAAAACAAGTATTATTTTAAATACCCCATTTTAGAAATGAGGAAACTGACATCTCTGTATGCTGACTAGGAAAGCTACTCTTAAAAAAAATACTTAGTAGAAAATGCATATACAGAATTGTTTACTGCAGTGCTATTTGTAAGAATAAAAAGTAGAAATAATGTGCATGTCCAATAGTAAGGGAGAATGATAGTACACCTGTTAAATATCTTTTGAAATAATTTTTTGTTCTTACATATAATATGCATAAATTAATAATCAGAAAAAAATACTACTTTTTTTTTTTTTTTTTTTTTTTTCCTCCGGTACCAGGAACCGAACTCACGACCTGGCGCTTACCAGACAGGCACTTTGCCGCTGAGCTAAATCCCTAGCCCCCAAAATACTACTTTTTTACACTGGGAACCAAACTCAGGACCTTATGCTTGCCAGGCTATATCTCCAACCCAAACATACATTCTTAAAAAAGCATTTCACCTCCAAGAGAATTCTTGTTGTAGGTCAGTCTAAAATGACTGCTAGTAGAGGGTACTCCTGAATAGTGGCTACTTAGTGTAGTAACCCAGATATCTCATGGTGGGGGTATGAGATCAGCTGTAGAGAAACTTCCTTCAGCCTTCTGTCCCTGCTTTCCCTCTCCTCTCTTCCCCTGTCCTCCTTCCTTCTCCCTCCATCCTCCTTCTCTTCTCCTCTCTCCTCCCTCATCTCTCCTGCCTTTACCTCTCTCTCTCTCAAAAAAAAAGTAATAAGACCTAGATCTTGCTTTTTGGACCTAATTATGCAGATGAAAGATTAAAAGTTGCTATTTCATGCCTATCTCCTCCTAAAGTCTGTTTTGTAGTTTCTGCCTCCGCAGGGACACAGTCTTCCTTGCAGTTTAAGTGTCCTGCCCTCTGGAAGGGCATCAGCCTGAGTGAAAGCCCAGCCCTGCCCTGTACCTTTTCTTTACCAGTTTATTAAAATCAGATCTCTTAATCAAAATAGCAAAGCTTCTGCGAACATTAGACGAACACGAGAGCAGGCTACATGTGAGACTATGGAAAGTAAACCAACACTGATAAGGCAGTTAGGTGTCTTTTCTCATCCTTGTAATTACAGTGCTGGCTTCAGGCCTCAAGGGGACTGAAGAGCCTTCAGGTTCTCTGACAGAAAGCGCCTTCTAACTGCAAATAGGGGTGTTTCAGGGATTAGAAAGGAAGAAAGATATATCTCCGTTTCAGTTTCTGTTGCTACCTGCTTTCAGCCCTTGTCTTTCCTTGTTCTCAAGGAACAAAAAAGACACAAAGAGCGTGTCACTAGAGACTGTGTGTTCCTTTTAACCACAGCAAGTTCCATGCTAGACTAGAAACTAATAAGTTGTACATTATTTTGTTTTGTTTTAAATTGAGCACTGTCTTGGTTAGTGCTTTTTGGAATCGTTCCTGAAAGCTCTTCATCTCTGATGTTAGAGCTTGTGATTGGGTTGTCAGTTGATTCCTGTTGATTTTGTAGTGCTTGTTTCTCTCATCTATTTCTGTTACCTTAGGGTATAGTCAGAACTTTCAGAAATAGTAAGATATGACAAGATGTTCATAAGTGATTAAAAAACTTCATAATGAAGTGTTCTGCTGAGTCTTACTATCATGGTGAAAGTGTGATAAATTTTGTCCAAAGGCAGAATTGGAATAACTACTATTTAACATTATGTTCATTGAACACTAAGGATAATTTTGGTTTAAATTAGAGATAATGGTTGGTTGTACAAAGACCCAGAAGCCTATTTTTATAAGGAGAGCTAAGTTATTTCAGATCAGATTACTGTCTATTTTGATGAGCAGGACAATTGCTCCTACTTTACAATTTAACCTACAGGAGAAACTTAGGGAGAAGCTTCCTGGCAAATTGTGCTGTTTGTCCCCTGTACTACTAAGACCACAACAGTTGCTCCAGATGGTAGATATGATAATAAGAGAAATAAGTAAGGTTGCCTCATCTTGACCTAACAAAGACTACTGAGCAAAAAACTTGCAAATAAAACAAATAAGGTCTTCAGCATAAATATGTAGGTGTTTCTAAATAATTTCTTGGGGAAGTGTTTTTTTCCCACTTACAGAGGTTTCCAAAATTATAAAACAGCAGGATTCAAGTAGCTTTTCCTGAAGTCATATAGCACTGACTATTCAAGTTTCCCAAAGGATTAAATTTTGGATGAATCTCTCTTCAAGAGATCAAACTTACAAAAACATTTATTTTAGAGTGTCACAATGTGTGCAATAAAAGGTAATTCTCTTTCGAAGTGGGAATTGCTGGGGGGACAGTAAGAGGAGGTTTAGTTGCAGCCTTTTTTATTGATAGGCCTCAGAGGTTCTGGGGTGAGACCTGAACCAGTGAGTTGGAGTTATAGGAGAGCAGACTAGGTGGAGGTTTAAGAACATTGACATGATCAGTGCAGCAGCTTAACACACCACTCTGTGACCATCCACCAGAGACTTTGGGAGGATCTCCCTGCTTTGAGAGTAACCTGAGTCATCCAGCTTGCCACTCTAGAATTCAGTTTTGAGCTTCTGTAGTCAATAGCAGATGCCCTACAATATATGAAGACTAATTTGCATGACTTACAAGTTGCAGTTTTTAGGTCTGCCTCTAATTTAGCGTGTCCATTTGCTGTTTAGATTTTCCCTCCTAAAATTTAATGCGTCAGAACAAATCTTAGAGTCTTTCAGACTTCTGAGGGGCTCCTTCACCTAAACTGTCCAGTAGTTCCAAATGCTCTAAGAACAGCTGTGGCCACTGGACTGTGGGCTCAGAGGAGTTGGGCGGCAGTGGGAACAGAGAGGCTGGGCTACAGCTGCCTGCGGCATCCAGCAGACTGCGCTGGCCTGGCATCTGGATGCGTGGGAGATACGGCGGAAGAAAGCCAGGGATACCTGGACCATTTGCGTGATCACTTGGATATATTTGACCGCTGTCAGCCAGGAATAGTTTCTTCATATAGCTATCTTTCCTCTGCTGCAGGGTTTTTTCCCTCTGCCACCTCCACAGCACACAGTCTGCTCCTGCAGTGACTTAGAGAACCACATCCAGAGTGACTAGCAGAAGAGATGTGGTTCCTCTGGAGCTTAAAGTCTACAGAGCAAGGCAAATAAGTCACATATGTAACCTATCATTACAGCGCTACCAAGGGACACCGGACAGATGTAAACAACAGCGCTGCTTTAGATAGCAGTGAGTGGGGCAGAGCTCAGCTTTTGCTTCACTGCCATGTGAACATGAAGCTCAAACTGAAAGGAGGAGAGGACCCCGGAGTATAAGTAGACAGTGTTAGCCATGTGTGATGCCTGGATTCCTGGCACTGAGGCAGGAGGATCACAAGTTCGAGCCTGCCTAGATGACTTAGCAAGACCCTGTCTCAAAGTTAAAACAAAAGAAAAATTCAAAAGGACCAGGGATATAGCTCAGTACTAAGACCCTGTATTCAAGTGCCGGTACTACAAAAAAAGAAAAAGGAAAAGAGTAGACAATGTTAACTAAGTCAAATATACACACAGTGCTTTTGTAGGTAATTTTGGCTCTGTGTTAAATAGTATTTATTCCAGTTCTGCCTTTGGACAAAATTAGAGGGATCTCTCCAAGCTCTTCCTGGCCATTCTAGAGCACTTTCCTGTCTGGGTTCGTGTTCTGTACTTAGTTTCCCCCATGGGTCTCTCTAGCACATGTTTTTGGTTTTAATTTCTCGTTATTGTACTCACTGATCTGTGTGAGAGGCCATGTGACCGGTTTACCTCAGCAAGTCAGAGTTTTCTCACCTAGCTACTGCCTGTGGGTCAGCCCTCCACTTGTCCCCTCTGATTCCTGCCCACAGCACCACCAGTTAGAAGCTCCTTGATGGGGCTCCTATCTCCTCCGCAGATCTATCTCCACAGAGTGAATGTTGTCATGACCTCTGGAAATGTGTGAGAAGTGTTTAGAAAGAGCCTGGACTTGGTATTAGTCAAATCTGAATGCAGGTCGTGACTCTGATATTAGATGTGAGACCCAAAACAGTGTATCTGATCTCTCTCAACCTCACTGTCACTATCTAGAAAATGAGTATTATTGTAAGGAGCAGGAAGAGCTTGTGTGCTAAGCGCTGGGTGCATAGTTGGCCAGAGAAGCGTCTGTCTCCTGGGCAAGCTGGAAAGGCTTTCTGTAGGTACAAATGCTGAATAGAGGCCGGGTTTGGAGGCAGCACACACGTCCTTTACGTTCCTCATGGCTGTGATGTGCCCTGACTTGCAGGCAGAAGACAAGGCGGATGTGCTCAATAAGGAGCTCCTCCTGACCAAGCAGAGGCTGGTGGAGACGGAGGAGGAGAAGAGGAAGCAGGAAGAAGAGACTACACAGGTAAAGGCACAGGTGGACTTCCTCTCACTGGAAGAAGGAGAGGAAGTTAAGACTGTTAAAAAGGAGTGAAATTAAATTTATTCCAAGTCAAGGGGGCCAGCGACACAAGCGCCTGCCTGGCAAGCGCAAGGTCCTGAGTTCAATTGCCGGTACCAAAAAAAGCCAAAAAACAAAAAATACAAAAAGAAGCCAAGTCAAGGACCATGTTGACACAGTGAATATAAGGAGTTGAGGTTTGACTTTTTTTCTGAAGGGTGTTAGAAGAGGCAGTATGTCTCCCCTTGGGCAGCTCTTAGGAATTTGCCTTCCCTGAAATGTTTAGCAAGAGTGTTGAGTTCACACTAAGTTTAGTAATTTAGCTTTACAATCCAAGAGCATTGACGAATCCGGAAATTCCACATCCTGTCTCCAAGATAGTCGTTGATGAGCATGGAAACAGAGCCAGCAGTGGGCTTCTGCGGCCGCCACGGGGCCACCACGGGACCGCCACTCGAGTCAGTCATGCTCCATCTTCCTCATTCCGCCTTAGAAGAGGGGGCCAGCTTCCCTGGCAGCGCTGTTGAGCCCCTTCCCTGGGGGAGCATAAACCCTTGGGGAACCAGTGTCCTGCCCTCTGCCTGGGATGTGGGAAGCTGGCCTGCCTCTGCCCGAAGCCAGCACCATCACAGGAATGCAGGATGGCACAGAGGAGTGCGAGCTTCCTGCTTCCCCCAGCGAGAGACGCTGCTTGGCCGGGATCCCGCCCCCTGTCCCTGCCAGGGGGCTGGAGATTATTGTGGGTTAGAGTTTCCTCACAGACCCTTGAAGTCTGCTGCCAAGAGCTTGTGTGACTTTTACTAATATCTCTAACTTAGACGTGAGGAAACTTCTTAAATCACAATTAGTTCCATTTCGAGGCAGCAGTAATGCTAAATATAAAACAGACTATAAAGCACTTCAAAGACCTTCATCCAAGTAACCAGAAAAAATGTTTCAGTGAAATTACACGTAGAGAGATGTGTCATTTAACACCCTCTAAGATTTATAAAAAGTGTTCTGTGATTTTTTTTTTCCTTGTTAGAATATGTTAAAATGAGTCTTCGACATTTAGTGTGGCCCAAGCATTTTTTTTAACCTCAAAAATTTTGGAAGGACTGATTATCCAGTTTATGGCTTCTGTAGGCCTCTTGATGGGATTTTTTTTTCCTTTACCCCTGGATTTCCTTAGGCCACTTTAGTACTTTAGGTGAAGAAGAAGCTATTGGCAGATTAATCTCACCCATGCTGCCCCTGCCCCACTGTTCCGTAGACACACACCAGCCTCTGGGTAACTGAAAACTGAACTGGGAAGGATGGCATTTTATACTGGGATGTATGTGGCAGGAACACTGCAAGATATTTTACATTTTCCCTCCCTCCAACCTATTTTGGGCACCTTTGTGAAATAGGGATCATTCTCCTCAATTGTCACATGAGAAAGCTGTGACTTAGAGAAAATTAGTGACACTTACTCAAAGCATTTCAGCTGAGTTTGTCCTATAGTCAATGTGGCCTTATCACAGGAAAGGGGAAGATTACTGTTTATGTCCTAAATTATGTAAGAGAGAGAATAGAGGCTTATGTAAACAACTAAGTTTGAATCAGAAGAATCTCTACTTTGAATCAGTAGAAGCTTTTAAAATTTTAGAATGTAACAGGTATTAAAAATTTAGAAATCCTCTCATGATGGAGTCTAATATAATTGTAATAATTTATGAACTCACTGGTATGGAGTATACCCTGCTAATAATTTGGGATGTTGCCTTGGAGAATGCATCTCTATTCTGATTATGTATTTGATTAAACCAGAGTTGTGTTTTGTTCAGTCAACAATTTGGCAGAATTGAATTCTTTTTTTTTTTTTTCTTGGTACCAGGAATTGTACTCACGACCTTGTGCTTGCCAGGCAAGCATTGTGCTGCTGAGCTATATCCCCAGCCCAAATTCTTTCTTTTTTATCTGTTACCATGAGCCTGTTCATTACTTACCTTCATCTATATTAAGAATTCTAGAGCTGTTGGGCTACAACCATCTGTGGTTTTAAGAATAGCACTCATAATTTAGCTCTTCAGGGACTGTAACAAATTAGCTCCTTCTAAACTCTCCCAGAATCTCTGCTCCTTCTCAAGGACTCTTCTCCAGCCAGGCATATAACACAGCCGCACAACACCTTCCTGGCAAGCTTAAGGTCCTGAGTTTGATTCCTTGTACCAAAAAAATAGAACTCTTCTCTACTTCCACTTTTCCTGACTCCAAAGCCACCTGTCCCTGCCTTCAGAGAAGTAATGGCAGTGACAATAAAAGGCCTAAAGTGCTTTTTTCACTCATTTATAGTGTAGAATCAAGAGTAACAAATTTACCATGCCGTATTTCCTTGATAATAAAGATAGCTTCTGAATGGACATTTCTTTGCAATATGGTTGTCAAGTAAGTAATAAACATGAACAGTTTTATAATAGAGTTGTATAATCTTCTACTTTACAGAAAGGAAAGATTTTTACATCTCTGGAAATTATTAGGTTTTCAAATTATCAAAATACAACTTTAGTGAGAAAAATTTATAATTTAGTTATGGGTGTTACCATTGTCACTGGCTATGAATCAGGAAGACTTGAACATAGATGTTTGTAGAAATTTTTCTTTAATTTTTTTTTTATTTTTTGGATTAATTTTATTGGTACATTTCGATATACATAATGATCGCATTCATCAGAAAGAGTTTGTACCTGTATGATATTTTGATTCTTTGTTTGTAGAAATTTATTAAGATTTTTGCCTGAAACCTAATGTTTTTCTTTCTAGTTAAAAGAAGTCTTCAGGAAACAGCTAGAGAAAGCAGAATATGAAATAAAAAAGACTACAGCGATCATTGCTGAGTATAAACAGGTAATGCACCACTGTGGATTTTGTTGCTATAAAAGTAATTACTTTTCACTTTTGCTCTTTGTTTGTTTTTTAGATTTATTAATTTGGTGGCTTATTCTCTCCTGTGAAATGAGCAGCAGTTGGATATATATGCTTGCTAATAACTTGGGAGGGCTGATTGACCAAAGCAATCTGTTGGCTGTTTACACTGTTCGGTAGATTTAGAGAGATGGGAAGTATTATTACCATTGAAATCGTGCCTCTGCTGCCTTACTCAGAAGCTGATTTCCAGTAGATCAACTGGTAACATTTGCCTCTTAGCAAAGTTTAATGGTTGTATTAAATGGTAGTAGTTAGGCCATCAGTGTACCTTTTGCTGTCTCAGTATAGAATGTGAATCCTTTTCTCCCCTGCATGGTTAGTGGCCTGTCTTAGTTACTTTTCTCATTGCTGAGACAAAATACCCAACACCCAAAGTTAAGAGCTTTACTGTAGCTCACAGTTTGTAGAGGTTTCAGGTCATAGTTGCCTGGCTGCCACAGTGGCATGGAAGAGGAGAAATAGTTCATGGCAGGCAGAAGGCAGAAGGGAGCGAGGCAGCAAGGAACGAAGTAGTGAAGCGGCAAGCAACAAGTAATGACAATAGCAGCCCCCTTGCTGTCCCTTATATCTGTCCACTCACACCCATGCTGGCCCTTCATCCTAGCATCAAGCATGAATCAGTATTAGCATCATATTCTTAATCCCAGCATCACACACTCCAGCTGCTCTCATATGTCTGTTCTTTCTGTTGGCTGGATATGGTAAGGACTCTTGTCATTGCTGAGAGAGACTCAGTGCACTATTCATATTCCAGGCTTCCAGAAGTAATTACCTGCCATATGCCATCTTCTGATCCAAGGATTTCCCTGGGATCATCTGCCTCATGTAGCATGTCAAAATCTGATGCATACTATTTTTGTTTGTTTTTAATGTACTTTCTAACGTAGTAGTGAAATTTGTGTCTTTGTGTAGAAAATTAGGAAAATGTAGAACACAGATCTTCTTTAACTTATCAACTAAATATATTTATTGTAATATGTTGAGCATGCATTGTTGACATGTAAATAAATGTGAATAAATAGATTTATAATGTGCAAAATACAATGAATTACACATTCCTCCTATTTTTTTGGAAGTAGCTTTGGTCACTTCATATATTATGAACACTTTTTTATAAGAATTCCTCATATTCATGGAAGATTTTGCAGCTGTCTTACTCTCTTTTATGATAATAATTTATGTGAGGATTAATACTTTGGTGGACCAAAAGATGAATTAATCTAACTTCTCTCCTCTAGAAGCTTATCTTGTAATGGGGGGATAATACCCAGGCATAAATAAGAGGAAAGGGCACTTACTACACGTGGGAGATGCGGAATCCACTCCTGGAGAGGGGATAATTTGGGCTGTGCTTCAGGTCTTGAGTGAGACTTAGATATGTGTAAATGGAGGAAGACAAATGAAAATGATGGAAACCGGGAGCAGCACAGAGCTAGATTTGCAGAAAAAAAATTTTTATTTGGTAACAGGTTCAAGTACAGAAGGGAGGCAAAGGTCTTCTGGGGCCCAGATCCAGGAAGGTTTTTGGGGCTGGGCTGAGGAGTTTGGATTTTATTTTGCTCTTAGTAGGAATTTTTGAGCAGGCAAGTGACAAGCACAGGGACATATTGTTGGCACCTGGCAGAGACCACAGGAAGAACACAGATCATCAAAAGCTATAATACCAGAGTTTGAGAAGAAAGGAGGCTGTCGGTTAACATAAAGTAATAATCAAAGAACAGAACAGGAGAATACAAGATAGTTTTTGGCAGGTGGTAAACAAGGGAGAAGATGGAAAATGAGCCTGAGATTTTAAATTTGGGTAACTACGAGCAGGGGTGGTTAGACATGAATCAACATAAGGAACATTAAAGACCATGTCTTACATGCGGTGGAATTTGCCACTGCTGTGAATGAGTTTTTCTCATTGTCACATTTTGCCACTCCATATATGTCACATTCTTCAAGTAGTAATCCTTCAGGCTATCCTTGACTCTTTGGCAAGCATTTCAAATAAGGTAGAGGGCAGCAGACTCACTTTTTTGAAGATAATTAGTATATAAAACTTACTCTAAGTTTATTCTGTAGTTGGAATTTGCTATGATTGGTTACATTTCAAATGCTTTCTATTAAGGGATATTGTTTGTTTTTCAGACAGGGTCTCCTTATGTAATTCAGGCTGGTCTTGAACTCACTTTGTAGCCCAGTCTAGCCCTGAACTCTCACTGATCCTCCTGCTTCAGCCTCCTAAGTGCTGGGATTACAGGCGTGTGACACCATGTCTGGCATCAGAATACTTTCTTGTGAAAGAGTATATGGCTTGCAAAAATTATCAGTGTGTGTTCCATCCCCACTCATCTGCCTGCCCGGGATTGACTCCTAACCCTCATGGACATGCTTGGAAGGTTCTCTATCACTGAGCTACATCCTTGGTCCTTTTTAATTTTTTTTATTTTGAGACAAGTAGCCCTGACTGGCTTCAAAGTTGTGATTCTCCTGAGTCAGCCTCCCAAGTAGCTGGGATTACATGTGTGTGCCACAGTACGCATTGACTCGTCTCTTAAACATTAGTTAATACAGACCTTCTAATTATTCCCTGGGCTTGGGCCTGAGAATATTGGAAACTGAATTAAATAAGTTAGCCTTGGTCTTAAACTACTTGTTAGTAACTGAAGATTTTTTTGAATGTCCTTTGATAATAGCTTTATATCATATTTGTTTCTAGCCTCATTTGGACTTTAAAATTTGACATTCTTTTTTTTTCATTAATTTTTATGGGATGTTTTCCTATTTATTTATCTATTTGTTGGCTCTGGGGATTGAACATAAGGCCTTCCCATTACATCTCAGCACCCGCCCCTCTTTAAAATTTTTAGACAGGGTCTTGCTAAATCACTAAATTGCCTACACTGGGCTTGAACTTGGAGTCCTGCTTTAGCCTCCCAGAGTGCTGGCAGTACAAGCGTATGCCTCCACTCCCAACTATTTTTTATTTATTTATTTATTTTTTTGATTTTTCTCCGGTACCAGGAACCGAACTCACGACCTTGCACTTGCCAGGCAGGCACTTTGCCGCTGAGCTAAATCCCCAGCCCTCCCAACTATTTTTTAATCAATTTTAATCAATTTTTCTAAAATAAAAGATTATTTTAGTCAAAGGCTTTGACCATCCAGTTTTTTAAATAGATCTTTTTTCTTTGAACTCATCAATAGATTTTATTTAATAAACACTTTATATCCCTTACAAACTTCATATTCTTTTACAGACCTCTTCTGCACACATCTTTTCACTTGATTCTTATAGCATGGCGGTTTGCCATCACGAGGGAACTGAGACTTACAAAGATTCATGAGTTTGCCCAAGATCGAAAAGCTGTAAACCGGTAGAACTGGACCAGTTCTGAACTCAGAATTTGTCTTCAGGGCCTAAGCTTTTAATTCCTATACTGTGTTGCAAAACCACTTAATAAGAGTTTTGTTTTAACCTATAGTATTTCCTGGTTATTTAACTTTCTTCTCTTCACTGTGCTTCTACTCCTTAAGGAATGTTTTGTGATTGGAAATTGTTTTTGTGATTAGATGGAAGACGTTTCCAGTTCACAGTTTTCTGTATCCTGTTACCAGCATAATACCTTACAAAGCAGATATTCAGCAGAGATTCTATAGATTAATTCCACAATGAGGCCAGGAATTAACTGGAATTAGTCACAGAAGCTAGTGACAGCAAGAAACCAAATCTATCCCAAGTCTGTTCCCAGTGATTCAGACTGAGTTGTGTTTTGCATGTGAAACTCGGGCTTTCTGTGCTTCTTTCAGAAGAGGCAGAGCCACTCCTGTGAAGATGTCTTCTGGATCTGCTGTGCTGCTTTATGAGCTGATAAACAGTTATGTGCATAAACGCATAGTGAGTTGTTCTGTTTTCCAGTAAACATACTCTCTTCTTTGCCTTAGATCTGTTCCCAATTAAGTACCAGGCTGGAGAAGCAGCAAGCAGCCAGCAAGGAGGAGCTGGAAGTAGTAAAGGTAAGGAGTGATCTAATTCTGTCATGCAACTGCTTTCAACTCACAGTCTTGTGGATACCTGAGAAGACCCCCTCCCCCATTTTCTTTTGTGAAGTGGAGTCTACCTCTCTCCCGCCTGGGGCGTGACTCTTTCCTGGCAGCTGTGAGGGTGTGCTCCCATAGATGAGTTTGGGACTCAGCGCCATCATCCTGTCACTCTCTTGAACCGTAAACCCCGTGGGCAATATAATATAGAATTTGGTTGGAGAAACAGTATGTGTTAGATAACCGGCTGATTCTTCAACCAGATTTTCGGTGGTGTGGTTTTTTGCTTTGTTTTTTAATTAATTAATTTTATTGGTACATTTTAGATACACATAGTAATCACATTCATCATAGGGAATTTGTACCTGTACACAATGTATCTTGATTCTTTTTTTCCTATTCCCCTTCCCTCCCTTCGACCCCTTTTTCCCTCCTTGTTTACAAAAGCTTTGTTTCCATTTTTTACTGATTTTCTCTTTTTTTTCCCTTTCCCTTCCTTCCTCCCCACTCCCTAGCTCCCCTCCCCCACCATCGCCCCTCGCCATTTGAACATTTCCTTCCTATTTCACAATATCTTTTATACATTTGGGTCCTTATTCACCCTTTGGGTTTCTGAGAGAAACAATGTGATATTTACACATGTGTGTCTGATTTATTTCACTTAAGAGTGTGGTCTCAAGATGCATCCATCAATGGTTTCTTTTTAAAGAAAACCTGTAGCATTTATTTTTATGCTGCCCCCTGGTGGTAACACTGCTTATGTTATCACTGTATTTGAAAAAACAAGCTTATTTTTTTAGAAACAATAAACAAAATGGATTTATGTTCTTAACAAGCACTGTGGGCAGTCAACTCTTGGGGTCATGTCACACAAACGAGACATCCTCCTATTTGAATATGTTTAGGTTTCATACTAATAAATAAATGTGTTCTAAGCAATTTACCATATAGCTAACAACTTTTTTTTTTTTTTTTTTTGGTTTTTCTCCGGTACCGGGAACCGAACTCATGACCTTGCGCTTGCCAGGCAGGTGCTTTTGCCGCTGAGCTAAATCCCCAGCCCCTAGCTAACAACTTTAAAAAGTTATTTAATTCTTTAATCTTCATTTTGTATTTTGTAAAATAGAAATAACTATCTGGCTCATACAGTTATTATGGTGGTTAAATAAGAATGTATATAAAGTGCTTAGGTTAGTACTTGGTATACAGTAAATATATATTTTATGTTAAAACCTGAAAATATGAACCTTGTTCTGACATTGTATTGTAAAGTGGTAATTTTTTTCTTGTCTTGTGTTACAATACATGGATCTGAGATTATCAGTGAGTAAAGAGTTTGTCTTCCTCTACAAACCTACTAATACTTAGGGTCATATCTTCTGACCTATCTTTATACTTCTTGGTCCACTGACCAAGATTTAGTTGGTGAACTGTCTTGCCATAAAAGGGTTAGCTATTTGAACTGACATCCTTACGTAAATAAAAATGAAACAAAGATTTACACTGATCACATAAGCATCTACTGTGTGCACAGCTATTGGATTGCCATTTTGTTATAGAACTTACACTTGAAAAAGAACTCAGAATGCTCCTGTAGGACAATTACATACATATACACATGAAATATTTAGGAAACAGTTCAGGGGTGCTGAGGTGGATTGTGTTGGCATCAGAGTTGCAGAGAAAGCAAAATCATAAGAACTATGACCAAAGAAGGCGTTTTGAAGCAGGTTGGACTAAAGCAGGATGATTAGAAATCAGCTGAGAAAAGGATTTTAAAAGGGCATTCTGGTAGCAACTGTGAGCACAGACCCAGAATGAGCACTTTAGTGTCTTATTAAGGAGAGACAGATGTGATCAGGTTATGTATTAAGAAAGAGGAAAATATTGGATAAGTAAGTGAGGCTACCTAATGAAAGGCCGTGACATTCCAAAAGAAAAGTCTGACCTGTGTTCACTGCAGTCAGGAACAATATTTATTAACAAACACTTACTGTGTGCGCCTTTCTGCACTGCTCTAAGACTTTACATGTCTTAGCCACTGAACTCTGTAACTACCTAGAAAATAGACAGTCTTGTGTTTTCACTTTATGATGAGGATCAAAAAAGGTAACTCTTTGATCAAGGTTACACCACTGGTAAGCAGTAGCTCCAGGACTTGAACCCTGGGAGTCAGATTCTAAATTCCATGTTCTTCTCCATGAGACTGTTCCCACTCCCCTTTCCCCAGAGCTACTTCTCTTCATCTCAGTGGGTGTGGTGTGTCAGCTTCCTACTTCTCCAGCGACCTGTAACATCCTTTCTCTTCCGCTGCTGCCCCTTATCCCATACACTATAATCAGAGTGAGCATTCTCAAATGTAAATTCCATCCTGTCTTTCTGGTTATCAGCTTAGGGTTATTCTGACATATAGTCAACTCAGAGTAAAATTGGATTAAACAACAAAAGGTATTGATGATGTTATGTAAAAGCAGTCTAGAAGTACAAAGAAGGAGTCTTCCTTGTCCTGCGCGACCCAAGCCTTTAGTCATTAGTGACCTCTGCACTGGTGACCATCCTCAGTGGCACCTAAAGATCCAAACCATCAGCTGGCGCATCTGTCATCGCCCCCCCCCCTCCAGCGCAGGACTGAGGGCCGAAGGAAGATGCAGTAACATAGGGGCCTTATTCCAGCTGGGTAAGCACTTTCTAAGCAGCTTTCCTAGAAGTTCTGCACCATATTTCTGCTTACATATCAGAACTGAGCTTCATAGCCACACCTATCTTGGAGGCTGAGAACTGTTACCATTTGTCTGGATACTGTGTCAGCTCAAATAAAACCAAGATTCTACCCCTGAGGAGAGAAGGATATTGGGTGGATTCAGCAGGCCCCTACCACATTTCAGCATATGTGCATATAGAAGCAGCTCAACAGAGCTGATTGCTCTGTCTCCAACATGTGGTGCAAGGTCAGGTGAAGGCAATGAATACATCTTCCATAGGATAAAATCAGGATTCAGTGGCATGGTATTTAAGGACAGTTACATCCCGGCCATAAAGAGTGCACATCTCACTTCTTAGCTCTTACTTTTGTATTGCTTATACTCTGCTTGATTGTTCTGGATTCTTGAAGTTCTCAGAAGTTGCTACAGTTTTGCATGTTAATTTCTCCACCAAAATGTTGTCCTCCATTATATTAGTCTGTTCCTTCTTTGGTTCAATCTAATAAAATTGCTTATGGGGCTGGGGATTTAGCTCAGCGGCACAGTGCCTGCCTGGCAAGCGCGAGGTTGTGAGTTTGATTCCCGATACTGGAAAAAAATTAAAAAATAAAAAATAAAAAAAAATTGCTTACAAATCTTGTTAAACTTTTAATCATTTAGGATCTAGATCAAAAGCTGTAATATATAACAAATATTTGCAGTATAGCTATTTTGGGTCAGAACTGGGCTAATTATTCTTGTAGATGCTTAAGAGAGTGGCAGGTGTTTTTTTTGTTTTTTGTTTTTTTTTTTTTACACATCTGATGGATATAAATCAAGAATATGAAGCATGACACAAACAAGAAGAAAGTCATGGGGACAAATTAGGTGACTCTTAGGTATTTGGGGCTTGGGTGGGAAAATCTAGGCCATATCAGAGGAATAATTTAATGATCAGCTGCACACAGGATGCAGGAGTAGCTGATGATACCCAACCTTCAGGGCTGAATGATGGAGTGACAAAGCAGCATGGTAGAGTTACTTTATGTATGTCATTATAGCTAAAAACACATTGAACTTGTAACAGTAAGACATCAAAATAGAAATAGTATGTAGTATATTTTCTAAGTTTTAAGTTTTTAAAATTAATTAATTAATTTCTATAGTGCTAGGAGTGGAACCCAGGGCCTTGCTGAGCTGCATTCCTACCTCTATCCCCATTTCTAATTTATTTTTACAGTATTTTGGAAAAAAACGGTAGCACCATTGTCTTGAAAGTGTTGGTATTGTTCAGTGTTTTGTGCTTGATCGGCAGTCTGGGAAAGTAGTGGAGTTGCTTTTATCGCCTTAAACAATGAAGCTCATTTGTTTAAAGTTGAATAATAAGACAAGTACTTTGTTGTAAGGGTAATTTAAATCAGGGGTGATGATCTTCGGTCTACTGTACATGGTTCCCAGTGTCTTCATTTGTAAAATGTGGTGAGAATCGTGCCTATCCTATTTGCATGGGGAGTAATGACATAGTACAAGTAGAGGACGGGTGTGGGGCTTGGTGCCTAGTGAGAGTAACAGTAGCACAAATTTCTACAACAGTTTGCAAAGACAAGCTGTAATATTCCTAGGGCCTTTCTAAAGGTCTTTAAGGAAAAAGGAACACCTGTCTTGGATAGTTGGGTTTTGTGCTGACTCTGACCATTGTAATTGCAAAACAAGAAAAAGGATACCTTTAGAAATGGGACTGTATTGAATGTCAATAAGCAATATTTTTTAAAAATCCTATTGGCTGGGCGTGGTGGCACACACCTATAATCCCAGCACTCTGGGAGGCTGAGACAGGAGGATTGCAAATTCAAACCTAGCCTGGGCAAGTTAGCAAGAACCTGTCTCAAAATTTAAGGGAGTGGGACATAGGTCAGTGTGAAGGCCCTCAGTTCAGTCCCCAGTACCCCCAGCCAAATCACATATTAGTTTAAGAAATGATTTATCCTGTGAAAAAGTTTGATGGTGATCTGTCTTTTGGGTGTTTCAGGGTAAAATGATGGCATGCAAACACTGCAGTGACATTTTCAGCAAGGAGGGTGCCTTGAAGCTGGCAGCCATAAGCAGAGAGGACCAGGGGATTGAAGCAGATGATGAGAAGGACTCGCTCAAGAAGCAGCTGAGGGAGATGGAGTTGGAACTGGCACAAACTAAACTACAGCTGGTAGAGGCCAAGTGTAAAATCCAGGTTGGTGAGCTGCCCGATAGTGAGGAAGAACCCACAGTCATGGTTCCGGCTGCCCTGGTACTTTAGAGTACGTGTGTCTAGGTCAGAATCCTAAGATGTTACTATAGTAGTTACATACATTTTCTGTCCACTAATGTGTCCTGCAAAATCACATTTTACACCATGTATTTTTAACAATGATATAAGCAAACCACACAGTATTAAATGAAATTTTATTATTATTATTTTTTATTTACTTATTTATTTTGGGTGTTTGAAGCAAGGTCTCACTGTGTAGTTTAGGCTGGCCTTGAACTCACTATGCAGTCTGGGCTGGCCTTGAACTCCTGCCTCAGCCTCCCGAGTTCTGGGATTACAGGTGTGCACCATCATGCCTGGCCTATTAAATGAAATTTTAATCATTAAAATTATATCTTGTGAGCATATGTTCTTTTAGTTTAACCTGAGATTTTGGTCACATTGGTAGCTGACCCTGAAAATGAAAGGCCAGTTTGTTCTCTTCTATCTCAACAGCTGACCATTCGCGATACCTATTCTTTTCTCGTGAGCGTCTTTATCTTCAGCTGATTTTTGCCATGTACCCTTTTCCATTCTCTATCTACCAGAAAAAAACATAGTTAGAAAAATTGTCGTGGCTTCTAATAGACTGTTCCCCATTTGCTTTTCCCAGGGACCCCTGCCCACCACCATGTGCTGCCATGGCACCAACCCGTGTCGTACAGCCAGCCTCAACTAGTGTGTGATCTGGAACCCTGTACATTTTCATGAACAAAGCCTGTGTCTTTGGAGCAGGAATTCTTTCATGCTTACACTAATAGTAAAAACCCACTACGTCCTTGTGTTTTTTTTGTGGTTTTAAGTATGTTATTTTGGTTTCAACCTAAACCTCAATTTTTACCTAACTTGCAGGAGGCAAAAAATGTAATAAGGTTTTATTTTATTTTTCAGAGAAAGCACAGAGTCTGACTTTCAGTGGTAATTCTTTTAGCTGTAAAATTTTCCCTTCCATTAAGAAGACAATTAAATCTTGCCTGGGCTTTGAGGGAGGGAAACCATGACTGCATAGATTTGGGGATTGCAGAAAGCTATGCTCTCAATTCTTTCAGCAGAGGGAAAATACTTATATAACTCAAATGATTTTCTTTCTTTAATTAGGAGCTTGAACATCAGAGAGGAGCCCTTATGAATGAAATCCAAGCTGCAAAAAACTCTTGGTTTAGCAAAACCCTGAACTCTATTAAAACGGCTACGGGCACGCAGCCACTGCAGCCACCACCGGCCACCCAGCCACCCAAGGAGAGCACATAGCTCCAGCCTCACTCGAGCATAAGAGCACAATGATCAAAGCAACGAGAACTTAGGACTCTTCCTGCAGTCCCTTTGAAGGAGGCCAGAAAGCAAAGCAGAATCTTCCAGTAGCTCTCTCTTCTATGACGCTTTTCAAAGGGATGTTATTTAAATTGACCTGATTCATGTCAAATACCTGTTTTCCAGCTTCTTCAGTGGAAGGCCATGTTCAGATCCATCATAGTATTGCACATTATTTTATATGCCTGATATTTAGTTGGAAATTAGTAATTCAGAACTAAATGCTTTTTATTTAGAGATAATTATCCCTAATAAATTTTATCTTACATAAAAGTGGAGACATCTGTTATACTAAGGTAGAAAAGGTAAGATCTTTGTCATGGAAAAAAAGCTTTTTGAAACTAAACTTCTTTAACTTTCAAGGATTTTTTCCAGACAAAGTGCACTGTGGGTGCTGTGAGGTTTCATCCTGAAATTGATTCCCAGGGTAGCAACATTCCTGTCCCAAGGAAAGAATAGGCCAGGGACTGAAAAGTCTCCAAGGATATTTTGGTTTATTTTCATTTTATGTCAGGTACGTCTGGAAACAAAGTGCCAAGAACTGTGGGATAGATGAGCTATTGCAAGTACAGACTATGTAAATGGAACTGAGGTTTTGATAAACACAATAAAACCGTTTAGGTCTGGTATCCTAGCAGATCCTTCTAAGAGCCCCGCATGGGACTTGCAGGTTCCTAGTATGCCTATGTATAAACAGATCTGACTTCTGGCAAATGCAGGGTGAAGGGTGGGTACTGTGAGTTGCCGACTTGGAACCTGCTCTGCGGAAATCTGGCCAGGCCCAGGTGCAGCCATTGCGCTGAGCGTGGAATACTTGCTAGTGAACCAGAGACAAGGGCAATTTTATCTGATGTTGGCATACTTGCTAAAGAAACAGTAATATTTTGTAATTTTGTTAAAAGACATAGTATTGAAATTGAAATTGAGGTCAACTTCACACCATCTTAGTTTAATGATAGGGAACTTTTCTTAAATACGCCCTTCGTACCTGTAGGTGAAGAGACACAAATGTGTTTGTAACATCTTTGACTGAATGTAAGAACCTTTATAGAAATACGTATCTCCTGAAAAGGTGAGGCTATTGTTTAAGAATTGGTGGAAGTATTTTTTAAATTACATTTTAAAATATTTGCTTACACAAATAGGTCTTGCAGGAAATTCTTTTATAAGGGCAAATCTAACTTTCCCATTTGTAAGCTATTCTAAAGATATCTGGTCCTTTCTCACCAACCAAACTACTTTGGCTATGCACAAAGTATGTAACACTTACTGACACTCATTCTTGGCTTCACTGGTGAACATATTGTTTGCAAAGGATCTTAAACTCTGTAGTGCCAGAATGGTTCTCTGTGCCATATGTTGCAATTATAACATGCCCTTAAAAGTTAGGATCAAATAAAAGCCTTTGTGTAACTCCAAGAGGATACACTACAAGTTGCTCATGGTAGATCCTTTCTTTTAGATTATCTTTAAATTCTAAAAAGTGAAGTCCCCTTCATCTCTTTTTATGATGTCTACAACCTGTAAAACTGATCAGGTTTTTTTGGTATGTGTTGTACTTTTCAAAATAATACTTGTATTACAGAAATCTTTGGTTATTGTTCTGATATCATTCATCATAAATTCATTTCTTTTTACCAAATAGGAAAAAAATCCAGCATTCTAAGTGTTGACTTTAACATTCCCTACATGGCAGTTTAGATAAGCTAGTAATTGTTTTGTAATATATAATGGCTAGAAAATGATACCTTGGCATTTGTTTCTATGAATCATTTACTATAGTCTACTAACTTTACTGGTACTTTGAGTTCAAGAAACCCTGTACAAAATCGCCTTTTCAAATGGACAGCTAAATTAAATTCACTTTTGTGTTGTGAACCTGATAGTACCACAAAGAGCCCCTTTTTATTTGATTTCTCAAATAAATTCCACAAAATGCCTAATTACATAGTTTTCCCTAAATTGTAGTTGAGGGAGAAAATAATAGCTTCAGGTTAAGTCCTTATCTATACCTGATTCAATTTTGTAGTCCTTTTTCTTTAAAGAAAATCACCAAGTAATACATTCTAAAAGTTGATAAAGCTATCTTTTGAGTTTTAACTTCTACAAAAGATTATAAGGGCAATATGTAGTTTTTCTCTTTAACCCCATACCATATTTATATATGTATATATTGGTACCATTGGTCTAAATTCTCCCTCACTGCATTGTCTTTGAGTCAGTAGCTATGTAAGAAAGACTAAAAAGAAAGAAAATGAAAACTGTGGTATGGGATATGAGTGTTCATACAGTATGTTTTGATAGCAGTGTTCCAAACCACATGTCCTTTGATGTCTGTTTGAAAATTCATGCATCCCGACACAAAGCAGTTACTAGTTTTAAGTTCACTTATTTGGGGACATATTCAAGAATTGCAACTCCTCTCTTGAATTTCTTTTAGAAAGGGTTTAATTAGCCTCCAATATCCAGATTCCCAAATATTCCAGTGATTGTCATCCTTTTCCTAGAATGTACACTGTATAAAACATTCCTTTAAATATCTAATATTTGCAACATCTGAAAAGTGATCACTTCTCTTTTCCTTACATACCATAAAATAAGTGAGTACAATTCAACTTTAGTAATTCAGTTCATTAGCTTTTGTATCTTGAGAATCTTATTTAACACATTGTTTTAAAGCTGAAAGAAACGAAGCTAAATTTCACAGTGCATATATTTGCTAGCTTCCCACATCACAATTTGGTTATATTTAGGTACATGTAATTTAATGCAAAGTTCTCAGTTACCTAATGTTCTGTATATGAATGCCTATCATGAACAGTAGTAGAAATACCATATAGGCCTATTACCTCTATTTCTATACAATGAAGATAATCTCTTTTCTCCAAGCTATTAATAATTTCTTCTTCATTGGGTTTCTTAAATTTTCTTGGTCAAGTACAAAAGCAACCATTACACTAATGTTGGCTTATTTAATAATATTTATCTTGATTTTTTAAAAAAGTCCATCCTTTCCTACTGTATATTAATATTTATTTTTTCTGCAACTTCTACTCCATGTCCCTCAAATATTTTCTAGTTAATAACTAGTGGCTTAATTTCATGGCAGAAGTAGGAAAACGAGACAGTGCAAAGGTGCAGCACAGGAGGTCAGAGTTAGATCCTTAGAGAAGTGAGTCACCTAGGATGAGAATCACATATGACTAATGTAAGGGATACAGCTTTCCTTTAGTGTAGATGAAATAAAGTCTACTATCTCACCAACACTGTGCAGCAAACACTAAGGTGGGTGATTTTTAGAACTTTCTTAAGAGGGGAAAAAGAACTTAAAAATACTTCATTTTATCTTCTGGGAAAGAACACTTACTTAGCAAGATGATTGTATTATATATTTTATCCTTACAAACACTATAGTAGCTCTGATTCTCTTATTCCATTACAAAGAAATGAGAGGATGATTACATTCTGTTGTACGATTTGAGCACTTAGGCTTTTATTTATGTGTGTGTGATCAGTGATATTTTACATAGAGTATCTCTGGCTCTTTTGTATACTGATATGATAGCGCCAAATATATGTTGATATGTCAAGACAGTGATCAAAACCATAAGGCTAGACCATAGCTCTGCAGCCTGTTTCTGATGCCAGATAGATGAGTAAAATTCTCCAGTCACCACGCTTACGACACACTGAGCTGGAACTGTGTGATGACTTTTTTCCTGTCTGAGAGCAGTGTCTATACAATAAAGGGTCTTTACCTTAGCAACTTCTTACCTTTCAAAATCTACAAAAATGATGACTTTATTGTGAGCTGTTCCTCAACCGGTGATATTGATCTTGATTTGTAAAGAAAAAAGATGTTTCTGAGATTTCAGTGATGACAGTCTGGTGTATAAAATTTCCATCTCAAAAACTGTATATCAAGCTTATTTCCAAATGAATTTGCTACCTGCTATTAAGAATATTTTCAGTTGGGTGTGGTAGTGCATGCCTGTAATGCCAGCATTTGGGAAGCTGAGGCGGGAGGATTGCTCTGAGTTTCAGGCCATAGTGAGCTCAAGGTCAACCTGAACTGCATAGAGAGACCCTGTCTCAAAAAACTATAAATAAATAAATAAATAAATAAATACATATTTTCAATATATCCTGTTCTCTCTACTTCTATCTCTGGTTTACCCTTAGTTGTTTTCTGAAAAGTTTAAGAAAAATGAATCATTTAGAAGAAAATGAACATTTTAAGTTACTTTATTTTTTTCACTGGCAATTGATTTTTTAACATGTAAAAATTTTCCATAAGCTGTAACTGTAATAACTATATATTATATATGGAATAAGATAAAGGAAACTGAATTGTGAGATTATAAATGCATCGAAAGACTGGTATCATGAAAGCACATGAATAAAGCTGGAGGTGGTCCCAGAATCTAAGATGTCCCAATAGCCTTCTTCATCAGTTTCTCTGTTTTTTGTATTTTGCATAATGCATGGATACTTAGTTCAAACAAGGGGAAAAGTTTCCCAGTCCGGCCCACTTCCTTTCCTCCTACTCCTACCTCTCCCTGGATGAGATAGTAGAAATTCTGTACTATCTATTTTTATGAAGCGTTTTTGCCCACATTTTCTGTAATAAACAGGAATGGAGTTGATTAGAATACAGGAGTTGGTTAGTACAAGCAGTGCTAATTGATTATAAAAGAAACATTAGGTATCAGCCGCTTTCTCTACGGACACCAATTAGATGTTTCCACAATTCCATGTATTATGTATAGTATACTCTATAAATGTAAATGTAATGCTTGTTAAGAAAAGTGCAATTTATTGTACATTGTCCCAACAAATGTTTACTTTTATAATTGTTATGAACTTGAACTGGATTAGTACCTTGTTTTTATGTGTGAATGAAGCCTTGTGAAATAAACAGATGCAACCAAGAAGGTAACGAGGTGCCTGTTTTTGTGAGACAGTGATGTTTTCGATGCTTTGTGTTGCCCCTTGGGCCCATTAAGCTGTAATAAACATTTGTTCTAAAGTCCATATTGTGTCTGCTTTTTTCAAATCGACTTTATTCTGAATCATTTGAACTTAGTGTTTACATTAACGCATCCTGTCTGATACTAGGCTTCAGTCAATTTATAAAGAACACATCCAGAGGAGTCTTCTCCTTAGTGTCTCTGCAAAATAATGTCCTGTACAGCAGCACCGCTGACTGCCCTGTGGTTCTTTCCATGAGGTTCCTTGGTTGCAAGTAACAAGAAAAACCCTTTTAAAGGCAGTTACTGTAATTAAGAGGAACTACAGGTACCCGTACCATGGATCCCAAAGACCAGACACCTGGGCCTGAAGGAGTGCTGAGACCAGAGACGGAAATGCCACCAGAAACTGAAGCCACCGCTCCCATTGCCACTCCTGCTTATCTTTTTGGATGATCCTTATCTGCTTCATTTTTCTCTCAGAAAACAAGTTTTCTCTGCTCTTCAGTGCATGAATACCAAGTCCTTCCTTCAAATGACCAGCAGAGAAGGAGTAGCCATTTCAGTGTCCCAAGACCAAAATCAAGATTCTGATTGCCTGGTTCTGGGGGAGGTGGCTGCTGCTAGTCCTTCAAGGCACATCAAAGTGGGTAGTACAGTACATATTACATATCAGCTCCAGAGGCCCTCCTACAAGTGGAGATGGTGCAGAGAACGCCAGCAATGTCCAGTCCGCATTTGCGTTTGGTGCTGCGAGTCCATGGAACCTAAGTGAAAGCTAAGAGCTTGGCCGGCTCCTCTTAGAACTCAGTTATTAAATATTAATCAGCTCATAAAGTTACAGTCTATGGCTCAAATCCAGTATGCAGGCCTCTTACTTGGCCCATGTGGTATTTTAAACAATGAGAAGTATTATAGAAAAAGTAGTCAAAATTATTCAGAAAATACCCATTAGCAGGAGGTCATGAGTGGGTTTGATATAAACAGTAACTGGGGGAGGCAAGAAGGCTGATTAAAATAGTATGAGTGAATGAGAAAGAATTTTTTTTTCTTTTGGGTTTTTTTTTTTGAGACAGGGTCTCACTTTGTAGTTCAGGCTGGCCTTGAACTCACTATGTAATCCAGGCTGGCCTTGAACTCATGGCGATCCTCCTGCCTCAGCCTCCCCAGTGCTGGATTACAAGCATGTGCCCATGCCCAGCCAAGCATTTCATTTTAAGAGAAAAATTGCCTAAAACTTGGAAACAAGGCAAGAAGGTGAGCAACATGTCCCTTCAATGTCAAACCAAGGACTGGGGGATTACACTTGGTGCATCTCGCTGTTCACTACTGATTAAAGGTCCTAAACTTCATCTGTATATTATAGATTTTTGTCCAGTAAGAATGTAAATGCCTTATTTTCAGTGGAATAGATAACTCCAAAGTTTGTACTTTATTACTCTGTAGGACATTAGCCAGTTTGTACCTAACCTTGTAACCTTATACTGTATTAGCATTCCATGAAGTTGCTTATACATACTTTGAAACAGTTTTAACATCTTAACTAATTTCATCTGCTAATGAAATATCTAAAATATTTGTCATGTATATATATTTGCATGAGACGTCTGATTTTATCTTTTTTGAAATAGTATTTATTTATTTATTTTGGTCTTTTTGAGACAGGCCTGTGCCACCACACCTGGCTGAAATAGTACTTTAACAGAATTTCTGATTACTATCAAAGGAAGCCTGAGCAAAACCTTCGAAAAGTTTACTTGCACGGAAATTTGGCAAAGACATCAGATAGGCATTGTGGCACACCTGTAACCCCAGTACTTGGGAGGCTGAGGCAAGAGGATCACTGTGAGTTTGAGGCCAGCCTGGCCTTCATAGTGAGTTCAAGGCAAGCTTGCAAGACCCTGTCTCAGGGGAAAAAAAAATTGGCAAGGAAATTCAGGCTTTAGAAGAACTCGCTCAACCAACTAGAGATCATAAGTGCAGTATTTAAATTTAAAACATCACACAATTTCAACTTTCTGAATCTAGAATTGGCTCATGATGGGAAAAAAGCATTCTTCACGCTCTCAGTGCATATCTTCAAACAGCACTGCAAAAGCTGAAAGTTTTGTTCCACTGATTTTTAAGGAGTCTGATTTTACAGGAAAGACTAAGGCTCAAGGTTTCATTTACATGGGGAATTAGAACTAGACAATGACCCGGATGTGTGTGTGGTTGTGGCATCACATTTTACCTCTAGCTTTTCATATTTAGTTTTTATTACTTGTTTTATCTCAGGGTGCAAGGGAGAGGTGTGTGGGTATTTCTTCACTTCTGGGATCCATTGCCCATTTACTCAGAATGGCAGCAAGTTGGGGAGTTAGTTTTGCTTCTGTATGGCAGATGTATGGACTGTTATAGAATACAGTTAGAGAGAGGCCAAATTGAGTTTTTTGGTTTTTTTTTTTTTGACTCATAAGGATGGAAGATTTGAACTGTTTTAAACGCTGGTAAAAAGAAAAAAATGGGAGAGAATGAGGGTAATCATATCTTGTTTATGGGAAACCAAAGCAGAAGTGTTGCAGGATAGGCATACTAGAATGACAAAGGGGCCAGGGGATGGTCCGGGCATGAAAAGAGTGATAAAATTGACAATCATAAATCTAGCGTGACAGGCCAGCAGGAATAAGATGGAGATGCCAAAGGACTGCAGCAGTATTGATGTAGTAGTGAGAGAGTGAGCAGGAGTGCTGGGAAAGAAAACCACCTTCAGGGCACAGACTTTAAGACTAGAAATGGGCAGTCTGTGACATGATAAGGTCTAAGGCACAGTTATGGACAAAGACATCTGAGTTATAAAATCTGAGCTAACGTTTATAGCATATATACAAAATCGATTTTAAGGAATTGTGCTGTGGTGGTTTTTTTTGTATCTTGACTTTAAGTACCAAACACTGTTATTAGGTATTCTACTCCCTGTTTATACAGAGGCAAGCAGAGGCTTCTGAGATTTTAAATAGTCCTAATACATGGCTAATAAGATGTAGAAACTGTATATAAAGTCGAGAATCCAAAGCCTTTACTCAGCTTTGAGGGCTTGTTTCATAAACTTCCTTGATAAGAATCATTTAGGGTTGTGTTAAAACATCTAGTCTATTAAATCCACTAAAGCGTATTTACAGATTGCCTACTGTGCAGCCTCTTGTGAGGCTGAGTGAAAATGAGGTGAACAAAGAGAATCTGCCTCTGAGGAGCTTACACTCAAATACCACTTCTCATCCTCAGCACTGTCAAAATTTGGGGCCCCTCGATTCTTATTTGGGATGAGTGGGAAGCTGTGTTGTGCGCTGCACGATATTTAGTAGTGTCCCTGGTTCCTACGTACTAAATGCCAGTAGTATTTCCCCACTTGTGACAACCAAATACATCTCCAGACATCGCTAACTGCATGGAGTGAAGAGTGAGCAAACTGTTTACAACTGCACTCAACTGAGAACCACCACTATAACAGGAAAATGATTAACCAATCTCAGTGGTAAAAAGTTTAGAGAAAAGGAGAGTGAGAATCTGGAGAGAAATGTGGTGGCAGAGGTTGAAATTGGTACAGTGGTTTGCGACATGTACACTTGGCTGGTCTATACTCCTGTCACTAAAGATACTGCACAAGGATTTAAGCTCTCATCAGTTCACTTTGAGTAAGGGAGTCATCTTGTATAATCCACATGGAATCCACTGAATCAATTTGGAAGTCTTACAAGTATCACTGAGGTTTCCTGGAAAAGAATGGAATTCCACTCAGTTAATGTTCTCTCTCTGACTTCCCATGGATAAAAGCTACCAGTTCTAATGGGGCACAGCCCGCCTGCGATCTTCCATTCCTGCCTGCCTGGCCTACAGAGTTTGGACTTGCTTAGCCAGTTCCCACCACTATGTAAACCAACTCCTTAGTCATTCATTCTCTCCTATTAGTTTTGCTTTTCTGACTGAACTTTGATCAATATAGTTTTTTTTGGTATTGTTTTGTTTTGTTTTTTGGCCTTTTGAGACAGGGTCTCGCTATGCAGTTCAGGCTGGGCTTGAGCTCACTTTGTAGCCCAGGCTGGTCTTGAACTCGAAACAATCCTCCTGCCTCAGCCTCCAGAGTACTGGGATTACAGGTGTGTGCCACCATACCTGGCTGATGAATATACTCTTATGATCCTTTCCAGTGTCACTTCTTAGAGACCTAAATACAATAAGGAAAGGATCTATGTGACGTGCAAGAAAACTCTAGGCAGAAAGGAAGTAGAGTATAGACTTGGAAGTAAGAGCAAACCCAGTGGGTTCAAGGAATAATAAAACCATAGGTTTCTCCCATCCGAGTACTAACCTGATCCGACCCTGCTTAGCTTCCGAGATCAGACAAGATCGGGCTCATTCAGGGTGGTAGGGCGGTAGACAAAAAAACCATAGGAGGGCCTGGGGATTTAGCTCAGCGGCAAAGTGCCTGCCTGGCAAGCGCAAGGTCGTGAGTTCGGTTCCCAGTACCAGAGAAAAACAAAAACAAAAACAAACAAAAAAAAACCCCATAGGTTTCTAAAACAGAAAAAGGGAAGAAAGAAATGTGATAGCATTGAGGAACGTGAATGTGGTTTGAGTCCCGAAATATTTTGAAGATTAAGCTAGCCAGAGTTGCTACAGGACAGGATGTAGGGCTGATATTGAAGACTCAATATGATCCTTTGGCCTGAGCAATTAAAGCGTTTTCACCAGTGCAACAGGATATTTGTTCCAATTACATACTTATTTCTAGGCTACTTGTTGGGACCCTTTTTTAAAAAAAAATTGAGCTTAAACTTACGTATAATAAAATACACAACTTTTAGTTCCTTCCATGAACAATCACGGGGAACCACTGTTATGTGTGTAGGTCTTCAGCTTGTGGGCTCAAGTAATCCTTCCTCAGCCTCCTATCAGTTTGTAATATTTTTATCACCTTGGAAAAAAATCCCTCCTGTGTCTTACGTATAATCTACAAAAGAGGGTGCACAAATACAATTTTACAGCTCCATGAAATCTGCACGTAACCTATAACCAGTATACACATCAGGAAACATTACCTGAACTTCAAAAGCCCCCTGGTGGTACCTCTCTGTCATTGTCTTCCCCACTCCAGGAAAGACTATCCTCATTTTTAAAACATCAGTGTATAGGCTTGCTGGCTTACCAATTTTAACTCTTTTGTCTGGTTTCTTCCCCTTTGTATAATGTCAATCTGTGTACTGTGATCGTTTGCATGTAGGGCACTTCCGATTTTCTATGGCCATAATGGTCAGCCTGCATTTTTCTAACAGCTTTCTCCTTCTCTGACTTGCTGATTCTAATCGCCGATCTGTAAAGCTGACTGCTGGTTATTTGACCTCTCAAAGCTATTGTGTTATGTTTCATCTGTGTTGCAAACGTCTTGGTGAGGCCAGAAACTAAAACCTGAAAAATGGGGTTCTCTGCGCCTTAGAGCAGAGCTGCTAGAACTACCGAACAGTCCCAAGAAGTCATTCTACATTTCCTGATGGTCAAATGCCTCACTAACGTCGAATCCAACACGCGTAAGACGTACATACTCACAGAAAGGCCAGTTAAAGAGGCGAAAGCACTGGAAAAGAATGTTTTAACAGTTCAGGAACATCTCTAAATT